AACAGGAGATCCTGTGATATACAGATTTATTTTTGCTGCCTTTATGCTAAAGGCAAACTCAAAAATAATAGCTATTATTTCTGTACATCCTTCAGTACTGCCTGGTTGAGCTAGGTAAAATTAATTGCAGAGTTTCCTGGACAGGATTTGCTGAAGCAAAAAAGGATTAACCAAAAATAAGTGAAAAGGTAGTGTGCAAAGAGAGTAAGTGTCAATGGCAAAGAAATAGGTAACTCCCAGAATCTTCAAGTCATGGCTTGACATCCTCCTTGTTATCAGTGAGAAATTATTTGAAGACCTCATTTAACTTTATGAGATTTGGAGAACCTTCAGCACCTGCAGAGCAAATGTGGCAGAAAAGGCAAAAAGTTACAGGATGTTTTCTAACTGGAGTGAGATTTTCAACAACTTTGCTTGCACATCTAATGGTGACACTTATTTTCCCACTTCTTGTACTACACAGTTCAGCACTGTGAAAAACAGAAAAGAAGATTTCCTTTTTGGCATTGTAGTGGCATCTCTTCTTTAAATGCATGTAAAGGCAAGGCAATAAAGGGAGGTTGTGCCAAACACACAAAAGGTATATTTGATTTTTCCAAGGTTTGAAACAATGGAAAGCAAAAATATACTAAAATCTGTAGAGGTATTTTAAGTTTTGTCTGTGATAACCTCTTCTGATTATTAATCATGAGATAATATTATGGATGACTATAATGAGTATTATCACATATGATTTGAGTCAATTTTTTTGTTTGTCTTGATCTAGAAGAGGAGAAGCAATTCAAATTAATACTAAAAAACCCAAAAACATTTAGGCCCTGAAGCAGTTGGTATTGGAGAAGTTTGGGTCAGGTAGATCCCATGGGTTGTCTCTTGTGAGGACTTAAAGTGAAATACCTGCTTGGATACTTCTAGGCCTGAGGCATGGCTTTGATATTTACTATAACAGCATCTACTTTGTTGGCTGTGTTTTCAAAAGCACTTGGAAGAGAAAACAGAGAAATTATGCTCCTTTGATCTGTTAAAGGTAATTAATTTAATTGATAATATTTTTATTCCTTCTACTAATCCCTGTTCTTCCATTTACTTTCATTCTCTAATCCAGCAATGCCTTGACTATAGAGATTAGTAGAAGTTTTAATATTTTTCAATTGATGCTATTTATTTAAGATGACCATATTGTAGTGTTTGCCTCCACTTTTGTTATTTGTTTTGGATGTTTAGTGCTGTAAGAACCCAACTTTGAATTAGTCTGCAGCATTCACGGAAAGACTGAATATCTGATATTTCAGAGAAAGGAAGTCACGGGATATGTGTCTTTGCCCTGGACTTCAGAGTGGAAGAAGAAATTTTAAGAAGGCCACCATAAAAGCCATTGATTCCTTTAAAGTTGGAGGTAGATTGTGGGAGCTTTAACTTGTGAACCACCTCTGAGGTGTCCAGTTCCTCACCTGCTATCTGCCAGTGGAGATTCTTTTACAAGGAAACTTCACTGGGAAATTTCAGCATAAAAGGAACGTGTGGAAAAAGTAATACAACCTTAGAATCTTGTAAGGTTTCTATTGCTTCCACGTTGCTACATGTGGATATTTCCATTATGATCTTTCTTCATGGTCCTTGGAGAGTTCCCACCTGATGTGGACAGAGTAACAAAGATGTGAAGGTGGCTCATACTTGTCTTTTGAAAAAGGAAGACCTATGTACAAAAGGAGAATCTCCACAAGGGTACAAATGAAATGTTTCCATACCTGCCAAAGTAAACAAGTAAAATCTTCTAGAGGAATGTTCTCTGGTCACTTACAGAGATGCTTATGCATTCTTGTATGCCCAAATAGGGACCAGCACATCTGAGAAAAAAAGCTATTATTGGAGTTTAAATGCACAGACCTAAACATATGGGCTCAGAGGGAAATGTGGGTTTCTAAGAGTTCCACCTTATTTTGCAGTTTCATTTGGCACTACAAAATATAGTTGTTAGAGACAAAAAAGAAAACCTGAAGAGAATTTAACTTGGACATTGGGGCATTAAAAGTACAAAAAAAAATGGGTTAATGTTGACTTATTCCTGCAGTTTAGGGAAAAAAAATTAACATATAAGTTCTACATAAAGCTTTGCTTTAGAAAGCCTCCCTGATGTGCTGAAAGTTTCAAAGGAGTGCTACGTAATAACTAGTGCAACCAAGATACAAAATTACTGCATGGTGAGCAAAAGAAGCATGCAATGGATGCAGAGCCTCGGGATGGGAAATACGTTTTCCAGCGTTGCTCCTGATTTTCTATAACCGTCTGTTGTCAAATCAAGCAATGTATTTCCAGTCTGGTTTAGAGGGAATACATGCTCTATTTGCTTACTGCAGTATAGTGTTTTGTTGTTATTGTTTTGCTATAGTTTTGGTTATGGCCAATATTTTGGAGCTGGCTGAATGAAAGGGCAAAAAGAGATGTTGCTGTTCCTTTTTCCCCAGAAGCCCAACAGTCTATTAATGCTTGCTTCTGGACTTGTTGCCTTTTTGCTTGAAAGGCTTTGAAGCATATTATGTCCAGGAACTCCAAATCACCATTGTGTACTCTGTTAGATTTCCAAAAGCATGGGGGAGATAGGAGATGGATTAAGGAAATTGCTCTTTGCCCTTTGCAGTTATTTCACTTTAAAATATGCGTATGTGTCTGCAGGAAAAGTAGCTAAGAGGGGCTATGAGTTTAGAGTAAATATTTTAGGATGCTTGGATCCAAATGTTAGTATTCTGTATACAGCTGTCTAATAAATCTAGACCAGGAGAGATTATAGTCTAATGGCCTATGTTAGGCATGTGCATTGAAATTAATATTTTTTGTATTTCTACTGGATTGTTAAAATGAGGAGGAGAAGACAAGCATTCCAACTATATGAATTTACATTCTCTTTTTTTTTTTTTTTTTTCCTAAAATAGGTAAGGGATTTACAGATTTTTCTCTTGTCAATTACAATCCAACAGCCAGATTTGCAGTCCTATGCTATTGCAGTAAAATTTTTAATATCTCTAAGTAATTTTTTACTGACACAAATATTAATTCCTGGAATCCTTTTGGATTCTCAGTGAAGCCAAATTCAACAGACACAATTTAAATATATATGTATTAAATATACATCTGATTTTTCTTTTTCTTCAGGATTCATTCAGATAAAGAGAACCAACCAGCTTTCTCATATATTGAGAAAATTTTATTGAGCTAATTTGAAGCCTAGAAAACAATGATCCAAGAAGTTAACTATCTGTCATTGTTAATCTCACACAACATGAGAAGAGAAGCCAGAACATTACTCTAAAAGTTGTAAGTAAAGCTCTGGTAGAACACTCATGTGATGGTGGTAATAAAATAGAGCTTTCAAGGGTACTGTGGAAAGTTAGAGACAAAAAGCTGAACTAATAAAACCATCTATCTCATAGGTAAATGAATAAGCAGAGTGATTTTTCAGCCCAGTATCAGCTTGATACATAGGCCAGAAGAGGAAGGATAGTGTAGAACATATACCTGCATATACCTGCATTTTGTGCATTTTTTTTGCTGGCTTATTGGCTGACCTGCAGTTAGACAGAGTTAGCCCTTGTCTTGGAGGTGACTACTGGAATATTTTCCTATATGGAAGATATTCCAAATCTGCAAATATAATTTGGTGAGAGGAGGCCAAATTTGGACCTGTCAACTTTGACATATCCCTTAAAATATACCAAATGATAGTAATGGTGTGTAAGGGAGTTGTAACAAAGGAGAGATTTTCAGCTCTTTTAACAGAGAGCTATATAATCACACTTTCTTGTAGAAGCATTCAGTATGAAGATCTGTCAATAGAAATCTCAAACTGTGAATATACAATTGCACTTTATTATCCCTTTGTTATTTTGTAACTACATAGGTATGACAGACAGAAACTGACGTTAAAAGAAATCCACAATTGTCAGTGTGTCACATGCATGAATCCCACTGCTGGAAGTTTTTCAGTAAATCAGCATTGTTGGGTAGGTACACCAAATGCCTTATTCTAACAAAATGTTTTTGCTCACAGTAACACTCAAGCTCTTAATTTAAGGAGAATGAACATCCTAAGATTTTGTTACTGTTGTGCAGATCAGACAGATGGTGCTCTGTCTTGTACTGAGCAAACACGGAACTAAACACTTATAAGTACCAGATAAAAGGTGCTGAGGGGACAGAGTAGGTAGGGAAACCTTCAGTTAGACACATAAGCAAATAAGTGCTGTATTGTAAAACAATAATTATGTGTAAGACACTCTGGGTTTCCTCAACATTCCTTTGAGTCTCTAAGGAGTACAGTGAAAGAGTACACAGAGGTCTCCAAACCTTCACCCACCAGCAAAATTATTTGTTTTGTGTCTTAAGGATTTATGGTGCTACTGTTCTTGGCAGGGCCTGGAAACTAGCCACACACAAAACAGAGATAGATGGAAGCATCTGGTGAACTTCAGAGCTCTGTCTTTCATGAAAGATGAAGAGATGGGAGCAAAAACCCTGCATGAGGGGTCCTTTTATTTTAAAGAATTAACTTCATTTTGTGTTAAAATTGATTGGTAAATTCTTTATTTGGAGTTTTGGGGAGGATATGTTGGCTGTGTTTTGTCTTCCAGATCACATGAGCTGTTTGTGGCAGTTGCATAACATTTTTTTCTTGCCTTGTGCCAAACCTTGGTTACCACTGCCTGTACCTGTGCTCAGGATCAGGGGTTTCCATTTTTAAGGTGGTTAGGGTTCGAATTCCAAAGACTGGAAAAATGTGTTTGTTAGGATGTGCATGTAACAATTATTTCAACAGTCACACTTTTCTGAAAGCTTGTGCCTGTGCTGTATTTATTAAATGCATAGACTATTAAAGCAAACAATTCAGTTCCTTTAATCCCATTTCTGACAGACCCACGTGAAATCCTCTGAGAGAGCCATGCACCTGTGACGGAGCTGATGGATCAGCAAAGCAGAGAGGGGGCCTGAGATCAGCTCCACAAACAACCAGACCTCAGTGAGTGACAGCTTATTTGTGTCCTGAGTGATGTGCAGGAGCTGGTTCGGAATCTCACAATGGAACCGCTGCTCTGTGACAGTGACTGTAATGTACTTCAAGTCAGTCCCCCCACAGGAGCAACAAAGGCCAAAAAATCCACCACAAGTATTCTTAACTTCAAAAAGAACAACTCTGGAAAAACAGGGAAGCCCACTAAAAAGAAGCTGAGATGGGCCACTAAAAGAATTAAATTCTTCCAGGCAGTAAGATCTCTGAAGTTAGGCACACAGCAGCAGAGCATTCCCCATCCTTTGGAAAGACTTCATAAAGGGTGGAAAGAACCTGGCATGGCTAATCAGCAATGGAAAAAAAGCTATTAGAAGTAGGAAAGATCATTCAGAAAACCAAAGCTGTGTCTAAACTAAGTTAAACTAAAGAATAAAAATAAAACTCTAATCAAAGTAGCCAAAATAATTCAAGGGCTAAGCAGTTTCAGGGATCAGAATTTTCCTTAGACATTTTTTGATCACTTTAGCACAAACAGATGATGACCAGCACATAAAATGTCAAAATGGTTATGCATTTTTGTGCTGATTTTTTTTTTTTTTTTTAAGGAGAGAAGGAGACATCAGCATAGGTCTGAGGAAGGATTAAAAGTACCAAAAGGGAGATCTATGCTATTTAAAAATACATGAGACATTTGGTGACAGTGTGATGTTCTTCCAGGCAGTAATAATGAGGATCAGTTGTGAAAAATTGCTAAAGTGATTGGGTAATAAAATTACCCAGATGAAATTGAGAGTATATAAATGTAAAGTACATGTACACTGGGGAGAAAAGCCTTTTTCATCCAGAAGATGATGGGCCTGAACTGATGATTACCACTTAAAAGTGAGTTGTGTGGGCTCTGATAAATAGCTCCATGAAAAGATCATCTCAGTGCTTGGCAGTAGTTAAAAAAAAAATCAATAGTTAGAAGTTATTAGAGAACAGAGAACAAACGAAAAGCATACTTATCCCACTGTATAAAGCCATTATGAACCAGGACATTGAAAATCAGGTGTAGTTCTAGACACGTCATTTCAAAAATGAAGTTTTAGAACTGGAAAAAGTCCACAGAAGGGCAGCAAAGATGACTTAACCAACAGCTTCTGTGCAGAAGCTGGGAGGCCTAATAGTATTGAAAGGAGGCAATGGGAGCAGCTGTATCAGAGAGTTACAAAACTACAGCTGCTAGCAAGACGGTACATGCAGACTCACTGCTGTCTCTTAGAGTGCAAGAACATGTGAAAGGAATGGGAGAGAGAAGTTTAAAACAAGAGGAACTTGTTTTAAATGCGGTGGATAAAGGAACTTTGCAACTCCTTTCCAAAGGATTTAATGAATACAGGTTTTCATGCAATCAAGGGGAGACCAGAGTTTATAACTGGAAGGGTGCTACCTTATGTGTGTAGATAAAGCACAACCCAGTCAGAAAAGTTTGATTGAATCCTTTCTCTGGCACAGTATGGCTTCTCATGTGTGTGTAATCAAAGGTAATTATAGAAGCAAACTTTATACATCCAGACAGTTGTAACATATCTTGCTAAATTAAATCATGTGGGTTTTGAGATCAAAATGAGTAGCAAAATATCAAAATGAGATTATAGTCTTAATACTAAAGCATGGCACTTTATAAGTCATGACTTGCACAGTTTTCCTACAAGGTAGCTCTTAGTCTTGCAGTGTTGGCTGCAGGAGCTGAGAAAGTGGTGTCTTGACTGTGGGAACAATGTTTAAGTGGGCAGGTTTAGTTGGTGTTTCAACCATTCATTCATCACCTTGAACAAGAAGCTCAAGTTCACTTCTTTTCACCTGTTAACTTCAGCTGAAATTCAGAGATCTGATTAACTGGAAAGGAAGGAGTCCTTTTATCTCCAATGGCTGGCCTTGTGCCTGGCTACCATTTTGCACTGTTAGTCTCCTTTTATGCTTATATTCCACTGGTCACTCAGAAATATGTTTAGCGTGTTTTTTTGCCTTATATTGAGTTATTTCCTAGGCAGCAACTTTTATTTGTGTAGTTTTAAATACCTGAATAGAGTTATTTCCTGAGAAGCAGCTTTTATTTGTGTAGTTTTTAATACCTGAAAAGATAGAGATTTTTAAATAAGTGTTTAAGCGTTTATTCATTTATTGAAACTATCTTTTCGGTTTCTGAGGTATTCTCTGTATTGTATTTGAACTTGTCAACAATTTTTTTTTAATAAATAGAATTGTGGAGCACATCTCAATTAGCTTATCATGCTGCATTTTCTAACTGTTAAGAATCACTGTTCTGATGTAGCCTATATTAGTATATTTTGTAATTAGGTTAATTATGAATGTTCTATGATATGATTTTATTTGAAAATGTTGACTGATCCAAAGTGTAATTTCTAAAAAAGCATATGAGTCAGAAATTTCTGTTTAGCTGTGTTTTTTAAGCTTTCTGATTTACAGGTATTATATTTTTCTTTCACACAGGAATGAACACTCTTAAAATTAAGGATTCTGTGTTTTGCCTATTGTGGCTCAGTCCTATCTAAGCCACACCAAGGAAAAAAAAACCATCCTTGGGTAATTTTTTTGAATTCTTTTGTTTTTATGTGACTGTTAAAAATACCATAAAAATGTTAATAATAGAATTATAGTTGAATCAATCCAAGATAGGGGATCAATATGTCACTCTCCTTAAGAAATTTAACAACTCTATAGTTCCTTTTTGCTTGATACTCCACTAAGGTGCTATCTAACATATTTTTATTTTTAGAAACAACATTCATACTCTGAACTATCCCAATTTGATTAATCATACGCAGATAATTAGTCATTCTGAAAAAAAATGGCTGCAAAGGAGCACACTGCCCTGAAGTCAGGCACATTTGGCAGGCTTCATACTAACTTGGTAGTAATTATGATCTCCATCGAGTGAGACAGGCAGTGAATAAGATATTTAACACTGTGTGCTTTGGCTGTGAAAACCTTTTTGACTTGTGCTTTCAATTTCTGAGTTTAAGTGTTATTAAAATATCTATGTGGATATATTTTAAAAGAAATAATTATCCTTTCCTATACACACACTATTTTTTAATCTCAGGGAATTTTCTCTGTTTACTGACTGCTCCCCAGAGATGGATGCTCTAACCACCATAGAGAGCAGGACCATAAATATCCTTTTGCAATACAAGAGCTGCAGTTACAGTGTAGTGAAATCTATCATCTCACTCATATGAGATGCAATGTGTCTGCATCAGAAGTTGCCCAGAACTTTCTACCCACAGAGACTAGATTAAACTAGATTTTAGAGATTTGATGTGTATATTCTAGGTAATATCTAGGTCTTTCTAGGTAGTTCTTGTATTTATAAATTGCTCTTCCTCTTTACTAAATATTATAGATTCTTGTATGCTTTATTGAACACTTGTTTTTTTAACACTGCTAGTCTAACTCAGTGGACAGTTCCCTACATATACATGTACAGGCTATGACAATACTCAGAATAACTGTTATGCCTGAACATCTAAATTCTGTAACACCATTTTCTCATAGTAGTCCACTGGCCACCAGAAAGAGAGTGCAGCATTCTCAGTCAATGAGGAGCTTAGCCATAAGATATCTAGACTGTCATATACAATTGCACTGGATTTGGTTGATTACAAATAGTTCTGAAACGCCTGAAAAAGTTGCTGGCATTTGTAATTATTATTTTTAAAACTGTAATGCATTGCATAACAGCCATTATCTTATTCCTAGGTTTCTGTTGCATAAAGATTCTATCTGGAAGTCTAGTATTTATTAAATACATTTGCTAGATCTACTAGTAGAACTCATATGTCTTGCTTCTTGTGCTGTTCCAAGGCACTTCTTGGAGGGAAGAGTACCAGGAATGAGCGGGTAAGACCAAGTTTTCAAAATGTTGGAGTAATGCATTTAGTCCAGTCAAGAGTATGAATATGATTGATGACTTTGCAGTGATGTGGAGGGCAAAATACTGACATGTTACAACAAAAATTTTTTGAAAGCTCAAAATTTTGGCACCTGTGACAAGCTGCCACATGACTAAGAAAACAGGTTTATGTTCCAGACTGCTCTGAAACTGAATGTGAACAGTTCCTGCAAACAGTAGTTCACCCAAATGTCATTATTATAAGCCTGTCTATTCAGCAAACTACTGTGCCCTGAGGTGTGAGCCTTGAACAAGTTGATTCAAGTACCAGAAACAACCTAGATGTGGCAGATCTGTGGTCCCTGCACACTTGAAAAAGCCAGATAAATACGTCTGCAGAGATCTGGTTCCCACATCGTCAGGTTGTTTTCTTACTGAAGGCAGCTCAGGTGTAAAGCTAACATGGTATCACTCCACTCTGCTGTAGTCTAGGAAGGAGACCTCCAATACATGAGGTCTGACATAGCAAAAGACAAAATTTGGGCTCTGGGTTAAAACTACCAGCTGCTTTTGGCAAGATCTTTTTTGGAAAAGCACTCTCATCACAGTTCCTGTACTGCCTTCTGCATGCAGGCAGAAAGTGAGGATAAAAAAGTAAGGGAAAGCAAAGAACATCCAACAATTCTGAACATACATTTCCTCAATACATTATCAAAAATGTACCATAAGATTTGGCAACTCAGTGAACCTAACATTTTTTTTTTTTTTTCTAAGATAGGTTTCTTTTTGTTTAGCCTTATTATCTGGGTTAGCTTTTAACAAATTCAGCTGTCACTTTCTATATGGGTGAGAACATTTTTAGTACTGTGGATCAAGCTGGCAACAAGTGAGCAGTAGTGTGAGACCATCAGCAGGTGCGTGGGAGACAGCAGCAATTTGGGAAGCCTGAAAGAGTGCTGGTGAGGGAAATCAATGTTCAAAAGGCATAGTAAAAATCTTTCTGGTTGTAAGAGGTATTGCTGAAACAACCATGCTGCTGAGAGCATAATTTGTTTTTCTGTTCTTCAACAGTGTCTGATCTTTGTATGATATCTCTAGGATTTAAAGATGGTTTCCTTTTTTCAGTGTGTTTGGAAATATTAATCTTTGGATTGAGGTAGTAATTTTACCCATAGTTCCTGAGGGCTGCTTATTTAACATCTGTTTAGAAGCAAGGAGAGAGCAGTTTTTTGAATCTCATACTACATCTGGATCAAAAAGTCACTGCAAAAAGGAGCATTTTAACAAGAAATACTTCAATCATGGAAAATTTCCAAATAAAATTTCCCAATAATTATAACTGCTAGACATAAAAACAGATAAATTATATTGAATTAATTTGTACATAAATATGAAGACAGTAGGGGACGTATGGTTACATGAGTCATCTACACACCAAATACTTATTAACATTCTTGTTGAATTTAGTCTTAAGTGTCAGGGTGATTTCATGCTGTAGAAGCCCCAGTGAATGCATTTGTATTAACACTTTGCACCAAAGAGACTCTAATCCACCAATTCCTAAAAATGAATGCAACATTCTTGAGGAAACCATGCTGGAACTGGCACTCTGGCTGAAATCCTGAAGTGAAGAGGAACATTTTCACTGCCTTTAAGAATGTCAACATTTGTTGACTGATAACAACCAATGGCAGAATGGAGTTGAGTATCAAAGAGATAGATAATGAAGGGTATACTAAAAGTTTGAGTTGAAAACCACATCTGAAACAATGGCAAGTGTCTTAGCCTCAAGTCTGATGTGCTTTCCATAATCCTTTGGTGCTCAGTGCATCAGGAAAATCTACACTAGGAATGAAGTTAGGAATAACACAGAGCAAAAGAGGCAATCCAGGAAAAAAATTTTCAAACAGAAGCTGGGACTCCAGGAGGATACAGTCAGACTATCCTAAAGAGAAAGCCAGAAGCAAGCAAAAGGGAATTATAACAAAGATGAAAGTCATAAAAAGAAGGGAGAATGGGAAGGATTTTCTGCTTCCAAGGCAAACAAACAACCTAATTATTTGCAACAGGACATTAATTGTCCATTAAACACAGGTGCTATGGAAAGTAAATATTCATCTTTTGGTGGCCCAAGAATGCATATCACTGACTGAAACATTTGTTCCTTATGAGGGATTGACATTATCATCTATAAGGAAAAAAGGTGTTTGAATGAAAATGTTTTTGTAGGGAGCTGTTTCACCACCCCAGTGATGTCTAACTTCTTATTTTCCTGGTCCTTTTATGGCTCCATGAAATCATCCTGTATCTACTTAGTTAAACATATGGAGGAAAAAATGCTAAACATTTTAACAAAATGTTCATCCATGCTACAGAAGGTACTTTCAGGTATGATTCTCAGCTTGAGCTGAGACATGTATCTGCCCTGTTTCATAACATATTATACTCTAAATACTAGGAAAATTAAAGGGATGTTATTATACTGAAACTATATGTTTTACAGATAAATTGTTTGGTTTAGAGTGTTTTTTTACTCTGTTCCTGGTCTGAATGAACATAATTTTGATATAATAGAAAAGAGGATAAAACCAAAATCACTAGAGTCATAAGAAGAATGCTGTCTTCTGTTTTACTTGAAGAAGCATAGCTATTGAAGTTTCTTATTTGTAATGAGATTATTTATCTTTTTTCTGTTCATATGCTACCACCTTATGGTTGCATGCCATGGTAAAGACCAGGACAATTCATAATCAATGAAGGATACACAGAAGTAGAGTGTACTCCAAGGAGAGAAGAGTAAAATGATAGCATAAAGTGCCCAGGAAAAACAGTCCCATAATTTTGGGGTGAATTTGTTTTCCTCCTGAAAAGGAGCTGAAATGAAAATCTATCAACAAAATCTGCATTGCATTTGATAGCCTGTTCAGCTGTCTACAGAGACAAGGCCCAGTCCAGTAGATCTAGCAGCCAGAACTTCTAAAAATGGCATACTGCAAGAGTCTGAAAGAAAATAAATTAAATTACTATCTACTAGCTCTATAGTTAACAGGATTGTTCCCAGACTTCATAAGTGCATACACAAAAAGAGACAATTGTGATGAAGGGTTAATATGCTGGGTGAATACTTGTTTATATCTCTATATTGTTAGCACCAGGGTGTTGATGAGCACATATTTATCCATAAGCCACTAATTTACTGCCACTTTGCCCATGGTGTTGGAGAACCTTATTATTTGCCAGTATCTGATTGGGAGAAGCTGACCAGAATTTTAACAGAATTATAAGAGCACTACAATGAGCTTCATGCTGCAATGAACCTGTTGTCTAAGGCTGCCACACAGCACATGTAGGTTTCTTAACTTTTGATATATATAACATGTGCTCTAGCAGAGTTAATCACTGATGTGCAAATTCATTTAAAGGTGACCTGCAGGAGTATTGAAAATAACCTCCAAGGTTTAGGGATATATGCTGAGTACCCCAGGCATTTATCACACTTTTAATATTAACTGTAACCATTTTTACTTGTAATACTTCCAGGTTATCTTCACTCACTGTAAATTGTTGGTTCCTTCTCAGCATGACCCACTGGCCTGCTACTGGCCATGTCAAATGCTCTGTAGAGCCCTGAGGGAGACTGTGGTTTGAGCCATCCAGGTATGATAAAACTCCTTATTACAATGTTACAGTGGCTTCAAATGTTCTCCATTTCATGTAGATAGGAAATAGACAATACTAAAAAACCCAAACTACAACAACACAAAAAAGCTCTACATGTTAGAAACGTACACAGAGCTTTAGAAAAGAGATTTATTTAATGCTGTTAAACTAGCCCCATATTTTGCAAAGGGATCGTGTGGTGCATCAGCATCAACTGCTAAATGTATTCCAAGGGGTCATCTCATATAGGAGCAGTTGCTATTATGCAGTTAGAATTCAGAGGGTTTTGAAAAGAAAATTAAAAGTGTAGTTGGGTAGAGAGAATAGAGTTTAAATGTAAATTTGCTAAAACTTCTTTTGGAAGAATTTCTGCAGCATACGTTCCATGTTTCTAAATCTGACAAGTACTTGATAAAGTGGTTTGACTTTCCATTCCCATAGAAACTTTATTTTCATGCTGAGATGCTAAATTCTGCACCAGTTCAGTGTAATTATTTTAATGATTTATTAATTTTTTTCCACAAAATTTGTTAGGCAGTCTTTATGTCATTTAACTTAGGATAGTTCATACAAGCAAGGATTTCCATGTCCATTTCACAGAAAAAAATACCCATTGCTTTTGCCGAGTGCTCACTTATTGCATTCCACATAGTTTTAACAGTAAAATGGCCTTGGTTAGATTTATTCTGTATTTGTTGCTTCACCCTCTGTTTGTCATACAAATTTAAATTGGTATCAGCTTTGAATTGCTGGCACACTTGCACACTCAAAATCTGCACCTCTCCCATTTCATTGCAAGGTAAAATAAGAAAATATTTCTGTTCACACTGGCTTCTTCCTTTCATCTCCTCAAGCTTAAAATTACTTTAGTATAAATTTAAATAAAGTGTCTTATTACAAAAATCTTGGTGCATCCAAAAATTACCCATTTATAGTATTCTCAGGAAAGTCTTTGGATTTATCTCAGTGCTATATTATGAAGAACCCCCAAGAAATACATAAAGGCTTCATCCACTGGGACCCTAAGCAGAAAGCAAATTAGCTCTTTATCTTGTTTGGATTTTTGTTAATCAAGAAAAATGCACTTAATTACTGTGACAGGAAGCAGTGCATGTAGAAACTGCACTGAGCCTGGAGCCAGATGTCATCCAGCCTAAGATAGCTTTAGTTTGTTGTGCTGCCTCTCTGTTAACAGAAGAGAACCTCCTGAATCACAGCTAGAACTTGTTACTTTATTCACATTTCA